AACGCATTTTTTGTCGTGGAATTGTCATGAAGATTGCACACATGTTCCTTACCCAAAAAAACAACTGAAGGGGAAAAATGACGAGTGGGTTTCTGTGACGTAGTTTCGTGAATTTGGATTGCGATCCTGGTTTCCCTGTTTTCAGTGCACTTGGTAACCCAGTGGCGTTACGAGGGTTTGCATTTCGCGTAAGTTTCTCGAAGCCTCTTGGACCACACACTCAGTTTCTCAGTACTTTCAACCCCGGTGCCAGGGTTGCAGGCCACCAAATTGGCTCGGTGCACTGGCAAACCGTGAATCGTGCGGCATCGTGCCGTGCCGAGTCGATGCTCTGATTTTTTTATTTTTATTTTTTGTGATTTTGCCACGCCCTGAATTCACCAACACAGACAGAAATGTGGATGCGCCCGCCAGGAAGTACCCCCCTCCCCTCCCCCGCCCCTCTCCCCCCAAACCCTCGGGGGCCAGAGACATTTTTTGGCTAAGTCCCCAACATCCAGAAACCTTCCCCGACAAACCCGCCTAAACCCAGAGAATTCGGTAAGTCCCCAACATCCAAAAACATTCCCACCCGAACCCATAAAATCCGGCAAAGTCCCCAACATCTAGACACATTCCCCACAGACCCGCCCAAACCCAGAGAATTTGATAAGTCCCCAACATCCATAAACATTTTCCCATAGACCCCACGAACCCAGGAAATTCAGCTAAGTCCCCCACATACATAAATAACTCCTCCCACACCCGCAGAACCCCAGATGATTCGGCGAAGTCCCCCTACACAGAAATACTCCTCCCACCCACACCTCCCGAAACCCAAAATACGCAGTGTTGTTCGAAAAGTTTCATAAGTTCGAACACCAAATGCGCTGAACCCTAGCAGAATCTTCTTGAAACAAACAAAAAAATCTAAAACTTCTCTTACAATTCGAACTAATGGCTTTGTCCGAACCAAAAGCACTTCTCCCCAAGTCCCTCACCGCCTGAGAAATTCCTCCCTCTTCCCCCCCATCCCCACGAGGGCCCCAGATAGCAGACGAAATCGGTCAGATGGTCTGAAAAACATACTGGTTTTTTTGGGTTCATCTGATTTTTTAGACTGCTTGTTTTATTTCGTTTGAATGAAAAGACAGATGTGAAAAAATCATATGAAAAACGAGAGTGAGCATTATTTTTCTGTTGGTGCAAAATCAGTTTTTACACTTCAACCTGCCGCCTATTTGCCAAGGACAAAGCAACATTGAGGAAGTTGGTTAAACATTCTGGGTTAAGTGGTTTTGTTGTCAGAACTTGTGAGGTTTACATGTGTGAGGGCGAGCTCAAGAAGAGCTGATAGAAGTCACATGGAAGTCCCATGGAAGTCCCATGGAAATCCCCTGGGAGTCACATGGGAGTCACACGGGAGTCAAACCAGAGTCACGTGGGAGTCACATGGGAGTCACATGGAAGTCACATGGGAGTCACACGTGAGTCACACGGGAGACACATGGGAGTCACATGGGAGTTACATGGGAGTCCCATGGGGAAATTATAGAGGTTCTATGGAGGGTCTATGAGGATTTATGAGGAGTCTTGCAAGATGCATGGTTTTTGCGTTTAAGCAATTTCCATATACATCTTAAGCCTTGTATCGGGCATAGGTAAGTAAGTAAAGGGGACGAGATCGTAAGTGAATGCATGGGGAAGATATGCTCATGTGAATTGCGCATGGTTTCATGTTGGGGTGCGTGGCGCCAGGTGGATTTCACATCCACATACTCTTAACACTATGTGCACTTAGAGGTTTGCAAGTGAAAATACGTGGGATCTCGCAGGTGAAATGTGAAGTGAATATTGTCCAACTTTCATGTGAAATTCGCAGGTAAAAAGGACGGATTTCGCAGGTGCCATGCGTGGGAGAGTATGGCTTTTGTCACAACAATCTCATGTCGCAATATCTGAGGTTTTGGAGTGTGGTTCGAGCTAGTGATTGGTGGGCTGTTTGCTTTTGCATTTGGTGGGCTGCTATATTAAATATGTGTGTATGTTTCATTTGTACGACATCCTTTTATGAATGAAACATTCCCTATCGTCGTATTGACGTAAGGGAATCGCTGCACATGCACCAAGTCATCATATATCCTCTGCGTTTATGTTGGAGGAAGGCTCTAGTGGAATTTGACCAAGGCTATACTTGGCTTACTCTCTTCAAACACGGACCCTTGGATAGGGGCTGGTTTTACTAGGCACCCAAGGACCCTTGGAGGTGACCTCGTGGATTAAGTTTTGTATGCTTGAGTACTTATTCCTAGAGCGTTCTTAGGTTCCTATTTCTAACAGTTTCGTCTAGAATTTCAGACGACGCGTATTTTTTCGTATGATACTGAGAAATTCGCCCACTAGGCCTATGTTTTTTGTTGTGATGGACTAGGCCAAATTTAAGGGTTTCATGTGGGGTATGGGCGGAATGACTCTGGTTCTGGGCAGGACTCTCCCTAAGCCCCAGGGTATTCCGAAAGGGGACAGAATCGCCTCTGAATTACCCATTTACATATGGAATCCCAAAAAAACAACCCGTTACCGAAAGGAATCGGCCGCTACAAATTCAGCTAGCAGGGAATCAGAGGCGAGAGGGGGGCGGGGGAGGGGGGGGAGGGGGAGGGGGGGTGGGGGGGGGGGGGTTGTGGTGGGGGATCGCTACCCCCTATAGATTGCCCTACCACAAGTATAGCCCATAAGAAAAAAAAAAAAAGAAAAAAAAAAAAAAAACCTTGTTAGGCTTAGGAATCTCGCGAAATTGTTTCCACAAGCTGGACGGATTCGGAAAGAAATCACACCCAGGAATCACGACTGATGTCATAATCACTGCAGCATTGTAAAGATGGGCTAACTGGATTGGCATGAATGACGCCAGCAGTTGTCCAGGCTCGTGCATTCATTGCAACACGCATCGTGCTGCCCGAGTGTGGACCATGCTTGACGCATCATGCTTGGCAATAGCTAAGTGCACGAAAATGTTTCTAGACTCTTCAGTTAAGCAGGCGGCACACAATGCTCTCTCGATAATTTTTGGGTCAAATTGGAGCTTGTCGTTTGATTCAACTAGAAATCAATAGTTTTGCATGAACAGTTGCGCGAGGTCGACCGAATTGGACCAAACGGCCACGTGTGCTATGGCCTGGCGATAAAGGTCGACTGTCTTGATGCAGGTAACATTTTCAACGAAGCGCGCAATTTTGCCGAGAAACTTTGAATCCAGGGTCCGCTAGCGGACAAACTTTTCGGGCCAGTACAGTTTGCCGCTCCAGTGAGTGTGCGTTCCGCGCTCGGGGCAAGCCTAAAGGCAGACTCAGAAGCCTCGAAGTTGGAAGGCCCAAGGTTCTGGGCCCACGATCAAAAGTGGTTTACGACAAAAAAAACGTAACCCCCAACCACTGAGCGTAGGGAAGAGGCACGCCGCAACCAATAATACTCAGCGTAAACGACCCGAACACTTTAGCCCGAACTCATCGTTGCCCTGAAGTTAGGTTTGGAAGCCCCGAACTGATGCCCCGAGGCTCTTCCTCGAGGCTTGCCCCGAGCGCGGAACCAACCATGACTCCACCACCCCATCGAGTGATCCAGGCACGTGGACAGCCCATCAACACGTCAACAGCAAGGGTGGAGAAAGCTGCCCTACACGAAAAGTACAATGACTATGCGAGATGTGAATGTACGAAAGGTAGAAATAGAGTACACCGCAATGGAATGCGATGTACTTGATGCGTAAAACTTTTATCTGAATTTTCGGACTCGCCATTTGTTTTCGTTTGAAAAAATTGGCTCGTGCAAGATTTTCGTCTGAACGTCAGACAAAGGAAGAAGAAGAAGAAGAAAAAAAAAAAAAAAAAAAAAAAAAAAAAAAAAAAAAACTTGGTCCGAGTTTCAGACAGGCCAAAAACTTAGCAAGGACCCTGATCCCCACCCAACGAAAAAGATTCGGCTAATCCCCCAACAGCCAAAAACATTCACCCCACCCCACCCGCAACCTAGAAGGTTGCGAAGGTTGCTGCCACATGAGTGACATTCATCCCACATTCCTTCATGTCCTATTTCTACCCTACTTTAGTGGAGCTGTTAAAATAAGTAGCGAGATATATCAACCGTTGTAACATGGTAAGCCCTGAAGTACTCTGCAATCTTGGCACGCCGCAAAATTTACCTTGCATTGACCTTGAATATCGCGACTGTCAAGAGACACGCTGGGGTTGCCCTTGATCCTTGGGGAAGGGCTACAGGCCATCTCTCTGCTTGGGGGGTTATGGGCGCACATACTCCATATTTAACAAGCCCGTTTAGCTCAGTGGTTAGTGACTGCGTTCTGACATGGTATCAGAGCCAGGGGACTCAAGTTCAATTCCCAGTGCTAACGTTGCAGAGGCGCTTGTGTCTTCCGCCTATCCCAGCGATATGGGGTGTCAAGAGACACGCTGGAGTTTCCCTAGATCCTCGGGGAAGGGCTACAGTCCATCTCTCTGCCAAGGGGGTTATGGACGCACATACTCGCTCCTTAACAAGCCATTTTAGCTCAGTGGTTAGTGACTGGGTTCTGATAGCGACTTCCACCCAGCCTACCCAATTCAACATTTGTTGTAACTTGGCTAAAAGTAACTTGGTACCCAGATCCGGATGAAACAGAAATCAACTACCCTGAAATCTGGATGAAATTGGGTGCAGGTGGGTGGGAAATCATAGAGAAACAAAGCTAAAAAAATCCTTAGCATGAGCCCTCGTGACGATATCCGTTGCAGGTGAAAGGGGTTGATGGGGTGGTTGGGGGGTGGTACATTATGGCACAGCTCAGGCAGGCTAGCTAATCCTCAGTACAAACCGACCTCAATAGTAATTCAAGTGAAAGGTAAATTCATAGCAGCAATTTGTCTTTCAGCTGAGATTTATCTTGTAACGGGGAGTTTCAAGCCGAGTCGGACATCTAAAGCCCAAACCCAAATTGCAGGTCTTGTAGTCACGCAAATTTAGGTGACTTGTACGGCTGTAAGCGAACTTTCCCCGACACATTCGTCGATACGAAGGCGACCTATGAGGCTGTACTAGGTATTCGTCTCCCGGCTGTCGCCAGCTTGCTTCTCTTCCCCTTTCTCTAGTTGCGGCTGCAACCGTAAGTTGTAATTGTTTATTCTGGTTTCATCGCAAGCATTTAACCCCTGGTCTATCGGCTCAGAATCCTGGATGACACGAAGTCGTGGCTTAATCGTGACTCGTGACACGAAGTTGTGAAATTCAAGCGGAACCGGTTTGATGCTACCTTGGGGATACCGGCGGTCACTCTCAGCGCCGCACGTTTGCACGCGCTGCTTCACCTACGGCTCGTTAAAAGCGTCCATGTAGGCTCGTCAATGCCGTCAAGGTTGGGTTTGGAAAAAAATAAAAGTAGAAGGAAAAAAAGGCAACGTTGGGGTTGCGAGTTGGTATTGGTCGCTCAGGTGTCTTGTCATTCCTCCCGCTTGTCGCCTCTCAACTCTTCCCCATTCCCCACTCCCCATTCCCCATTCCCCCTTCTCCCTCTCCCCCTTGCCCCTCCCCCCTCTCCCCTTCCCCTCCATCCTCCGCCCTTCCCGCTCCCCCTCCCCCACCCCCTTTCCAGCCAGCAGCCCCGCATTGCTCCTGCTACAGGCTCCCCGACAGCAATGACAAAACCAGCAACCCTGGCGAATCCAGGGATGCTGGCGAAACTGGCACAGTTACCACACCCTGCCAATGTCTCCCTGTGGCGAAGTTACACACCTGCGGCAGTGAAGCTATTCTCCTCGCAAACGGCTCTCCCTCATGCTTACATTGCTGGTGCGGCAATTTCCGGCCACATGAACAGTGCTGTGAACAGTGTCTCGGGCAGGCTTGCTTGGTCAGCTGCAGCATCCAACGGCCACGATGCTGCTGCCAGAGTACTTGATGCAGAGCAATTGGCGTCTGTTGATACCGAATCGCCAATAACGAGTACAGCGGCATCTGCTGGTATTGAATCACTGATATCGAGTACAGCAGGGTTGGTGGAGGCGAGTGGAAGGGGGACGGGAAGGAGGGGGAGGCCAAGGCGAAAGGTCGAGGCGAAAACAACGGCAGAAGCAGAGGGGAGCGGGAGGGGAAAGGGGGAAGAGGCATTTGAGGGGGAAGCGGGGGTGGAGGGGAGAGGGGCAGAAGGGGGGGAGGAAAGAGAAATCTCGATTTCCGACTTGTTCGCTATAGGTGATGACTCTAGAAGGAGTGACTCTAGCAAGAGTGACACTAACGAAGTTGACACTAACGAAGTTGACACTAGTAAGGGTGTCAAGGTGGTGAGAAGAACGAGGGGGAGGAGGAAGGCTGCTGCTGAGCAATCTGCTTCTGTTGATACTGAATCGCCAACTCAACTGACAGAAGGCATGGACCGGGAGGGAGAGAGGGAGGGAGAGGGGGAGGGGGAGGGGGAGGGGAAGAAGAAGGGGAGGGGGAGGCGGAAAGGCAAGGAGGGGAAGGGAGATGACAGGGGAGGTAGTGGCACTGACCAGGTACCTTCTGAGGGAAATGGACGTGGTGATAGATTGGCTGTGCGTGTTGAGGAGGTGGAAATTGTGAGCCAATCAGATGCTCATTTGGATCCTGGGGGTGGGAGTGCTGTGTGTGTTGAGGAAGGGGGGAGCAGGGAGATGGAGGGGGAGGGAGCGACAGGCAGACACGCAGCAGCATCGCCTCGCGTCTCTCTCCTTGAACCGTTACTACCACCACATGCGTCCCCGTTTGTATCATCCTCGTTATTATCATCCTCGTTATTATCATCCTCCTCCTTCTTGACGTCTTCATCACACATACCACCATCATCAGCCACCCCATCAAATCCCATGGCATCGTGCCTGCAGGCATGGCATGCTACAGTGGCCCAGCACCACCCCCAGGGGGCAGTCATCCTGAGTGTGGATCCTGATGTCGCATCAACAGCACCATCGTCAGCCCCGCTTGACCCCATGGCATCGCGCCTGCAAGCGTGGCATGCCAGTCTGGCCCTGCGCCATCCCCAGGGGGCAGTCATCCTGGGCATTGACCCCGATGTGTCGGGCGCTGTAGCCGTGCTGCTGGTCAACAGCGAGAGTACCCAGGGGGAGGAGAGGGGCGTGGATGGGGTGCAATCTGCGCAGGGTGGGGGGAGTGTTGCAGGGGAGACCATGAGAGGAGGTGGAGGGGGAGTGGTGGAGGGGGAGAGTGAGAGAGGAGGCAGAGGAGGGGCGGGTGGTGTGGGGGAGGGGCAGGATTGTGGGAGAGAGTTGGAGCATGGGAGGGGGATGGAGGGATGGTCGAGGATGGTGAGAGCGGAGGATGGGGTTGGGGAAGGCCACGCGGCTGTGTACGGACAGGTGAGACTCAGGGCACGTGGGGTGCAGGGCAGGTGAAATGGAATATAGGGCAGGTGGGATGTAGGGCTGGTGGGATGTAGGGCAGGTGGGATGTAGGACAGGTGAAATATTAAGACATGTGGGATGTTGTAGGTTTGGTGGGGTTTAGGGCAGGTGTGATATAGGGAAGGTAGGGTACAGGTTGATACTGCTCTCAGCATGGTTTCCTTAAGTATTTTTCATGACATGGGATTTCTCAGAGGAGCCGTAAACTCGATTCACCACCCAAGACCCTTGCCATGCCCACCCCCATGCCCATCCTTATGCTCATTCCGATGCCCATCCCTGTGCCATCCCCATGCCCACCCCCATGCTCATTACGCATGCTCCTTCCATGCTCATCCCTGTGCCATCCCCATGCCTATCCCTGTGATGCTTTTTTCACATGCTCCTTCCATGCTCATCCCACACGTTTTCACAGATTGACAATGTGCCATTTGAGCTCACATCTGTTGGTGCTTCCATTTGCACTGATGGGTACACACTTTGCTCGGGCCATTGCCACACTGCGCTCGGTCGGGCCGTTGCCTCAAACACCACCCTCGTGGACGTCCCTTTGCCTGCTCACAGATTCACGACGTGCCATTTGAGCTCACATCCGTTGGCACTTCGAGTCGCAAGAGGCACTCTGCGCAGGCCATTGCTGCTCTCCTGCACCAGTTACCACCTGCACCGAGTACGTGTTGGTATTGCTACGGTTACCAACCACTCGCGCCAGACACACGTTTGCCAGATGGCCCACCTGCATAAAGTACGTTATGGTCTGGTTACCACCCATAGCAAGAGCATTGCTGCTCTCCTGCACCAGTTGCCACCTGCAGCGAGTGCGAGTTCATGTGGTTACCACCACCTGTTGCAAGCACTTGTCGCTCTGGTTACCACCCATAGCAAAGAGTTTATGTTGCTTCATCGTCACTTTGTTCATTTGTCGTCTCTCCCCTTCCTTTCACTCCTGCCTGCCTGCTGCACATCCTCGACTCTGCAGGGCGTTCTTTTGAATTCTGCGCTCTTGAGAATGCTCAAAAACACCTTCATGTTGTGGGTGATTCTTGAGAGTCTCAAGAATCACCTACCCTGCTCGCTTCTCCTCCTTGTGCTCTCATCTCACCTTCTCACCCTCTCCTGTAGTATCAAGCAGTTGCTTCTTTGCAATATATGCTTCTTCTTGTGTTGTGCCCTTCTCCTATATTCCCTCCCCCCCCTTCTCGCCCCCTCTCTTTGCTCCCCCCTCCCTTCATCAGCCCGCCTTGCTTACTTGGAGCACGCCAGGCCATTCCCCTCGGATGGCAAGCAGGTGGGGGGGATGCACTCTGGTGTGGTCTGATGTGTGCGATGTGTCGTCATGCGTGCATCATGCATGTCATAGTTTTGAGGCGCCTCAAAGCTAGTCTCCTATCTCTGGTGTGGTCTGATGTGTGCGATGTGTTGTCATGCATGCACCATGCATGCATCATGCATGCATCATGCGTGTCATACAACGGCCATTCCCCTCTGATGGCAAGCAGGTGCGATAGGCAAGTGGGATGGGGTGTGGTATGATGCATGCCGCGTGGTATGATGCATGCCGCGTGGTATGATGCATGCCGCGTGGTATGATGCATGCCGCATGGTATGATGCATGCCGCGTGGTATGATGCATGCCGCGTGGTATGATGCATGCCGCATGGTATGATGCATGCCGCGTGGTATGATGCATGCCGCGTGGTATGATGCATGCCGCGTGGTATGATGCATGCCGCATGGTATGATGCATGCCGCGCGGTATGATACATGCCGCGTGGTATGATGCATGCCGCATGGTATGATGCATGCCGCGCGGTATGATGCATTCCGCATGGTATGACGCATGCCGCGTGGTATGATGCATGCCGCACGGTATGATGCATGCCGCACGGTATGATGCATGCCGCACGGTATGATGCATGCCGCGTGGTATGATGCATGCCGCATGGTATGATGCATGCCGCGCGGTATGATGCATGCCGCGCGGTATGATGCATGCCGCGTGGTATGATGCATGCCGCGTGGTATGATGCATGCCGCGTGGTATGATGCATGCCGCGTGGTATGATGCATGCCGCGTGGTATGATGCATGCCGCGTGGTATGATGCATGCCGCGTGGTATGATGCATGCCGCGCGGTATGATGCATTCCGCATGGTATGATGCATGCCGCGTGGTATGATGCATTCCGCATGGTATGATGCATGCCGCGTGGTATGATGCATGCTGCGCGGTATGATGCATGCCGCGTGGTATGATGCATGCTGCGCGGTATGATGCATGCCGCGTGGTATGATGCATGCCGCGTGGTATGATGCATGCCGCGTGGTATGATGCATGCCGCGTGGTATGATGCATGCCGCATGGTATGATGCATGCCGCGCGGTATGATGCATGCTGCACGGTATGATGCATGCCGCGTGGTATGATGCATGCCGCATGGTATGATGCTTGCATGAACTATGCTGTGCATGTGGCATGCCATGCCAGACCATTCCCCTCTGATGGCAAACGTGCGACAGGGATGTGGTATGGGGTGTGGGGTGATGCATGTCGTGGGGAGATGCATGTGTGCAGTGTTACATGTGTGCGGTGTTACATGTGTGTGGTGTTACATGTGTGTGGTGTTGCATGTGTGCGGTGTTGCATGTGTGCCGTGTTGCATGTGCGCGGTGTTGCAGGTGTGCGATGTTACATGTATGCGGTGTTGCATGTGTGCAGTGTTGCATGTGTGCGGTGTCACATGTGTGCGGTGTTACATGTGTGCAGTGCAGTGTTACATGTGTGCGGTGTTACATGTGTGCAGTGCAGTATTACATGTGTGTGGTGTTACATGTGTGCGGTGTTACATGTGTGCGGTGTTACATGTGTGTAGTGTTGCATGTGTGCAGTGTTGCATGTGTGCAGTGTCGCATGTGTGCAGTGTCACATGTGTGCAGTGTCGCATGTGTGCAGTGCCCGCATGTGTGCAGTGTTGCATGTGTGCAGTGTTGCATGTATGCTATGTTGCATGTGTGCGGTGTTGCATGTGTGTGGTGTTACACGTGTGCGGTGTTACATGTGTGTGGTGTTACATGTGTGCGGTGTTGCATGTGTGCGGTGTTGCATGTGTGCGGTGTTGCATGTGTGTGGTGTTGCATGTGTGCGGTGTCACATGTGTGCAGTGTTACATGTGTGCAGTGCAGTGTTACATGTGTGCAGTGCAGTGTTACATGTGTGCGGTGTTACATGTGCGCAGTGTTGCATGTGTGCAGTGTTGCATGTGTGCGGTGTTGCATGTGTGCAGTGTTACCTGTGTGCAGTGTCGCATGTGTGCAGTGTTGCATGTGTGTGGTGTTGCATGTGTGCGACGTTACGAGCGTCAATCATAACACAAGGCGAGCTGATGTGTGCAAAACCCGCATCACCATCTAGGCTCGACCGGAGCTGAACGAGCAGTGAGAAGAGAAAGGTTCTCTTCTCTTCTCTCTTCTGACAAACATGAGAGCACTCTTCTCATTGTGTGAGAACAACGGTGATGTGCATGTGCTTTCATCAGCTCGCATTGCCCCTTTGGAAGCACAGCAACGGCATGGCCTGGTCGCTAAACCAGAGTCGAGCACTGACAACAAAGGTGATGCCCGCATGGCTGCAACAGTGGGTTTGCTGTTTGCCTTATTTCAATTCTCAAGGACAGCTTTGACTTTTGAGGCGCCTCAAATATGGTTTGCTGTTTTCCTTCTTTCAATTCTCAAGGCAGCCACGACTTTGGCCCTTGATATGTGCCAAGGCATTGGGGGGCTCTCATTTTATGCCACGCGGTACGGTCATTGCAGCTGATCCCTCGCCTCGTTCATCCAGGGTTGGGACGGCTCTGGCTTCCGCTCTGGTGTGTGAACGGGCATGTCTTGAGACGCTTCCAACATTCCCCCCGCCATTCCCTTCCCCAAAACCCTCAGGGTCGGTACGGCTGGCTCTGGTTTCGACTTTGGCGTGTGGACGGGCGTCACAACCACCCTCTTATCCCTTTCTTCCCTCAACCCCCAGGGCTGGTATGGCTCTGGTTTCGGCTTTGGCGTGTGGATGGGCGTGCTGGCAGGCAGTGGCTTTGAGATCACACCAGTGCCATCGGTACGGTGGAAAGCCGCCATTCGCTCGCAGGCGCCTGTTGACTTCACCTCTAAGGTTGGCCTGCAAGCACGTACCCAACTATGTTGGCATGTCTCACAGCGCTGGCAGCAAGCGACTTTAAGGTCGCTGCAGTACCCAACAGTGCGGTGGGAAGCCACCATTCGCCCGCAGGCACCTGTTGACTTCATCTCTAAAGCTGGTCTGCAAACAATCAAGCACCCAACTGTTCTGGCATGTCTTGGAGTGCTTGCAGCAAGTTGCTTCTACGCCACGTCAGAAAAGATACCTAACCCTGGTCTGTGTGGATTGAAGGCTCTTCAGGTCATTAGAACTTGAGTGTTACGCACCCTGCATAAGTAGCATTGCTGCATCGCTTGCAGTGTAATGCCTTTCGTCTGCATATCCGTTGGTAAATCCTACTACTGCTCTTGGCCCCATGGCAAGTTGGTCTTCGTCAAATGTTTTGGCTCCTTTTTATCCTCCTTAGTCTCCTTTTTATCCTCAAGATGTGCTTTCCTTCTCTTCTCAACCCCTCACCCTCTCTCACCCCTCTCACTCTCCCTCACCCCTCTCACTCGCTCTCTCACCCCTCTCACTCGCCCTCTCACCCCTCTCACTCTCTCTCACCCCTCTCACTCTCTCTCACCCCTCTCACTCTATCACCCCTCTCACTCTCTCTCACCCCTCTCACTCTCTCTCACCCCTCTCGCTCTCTCTCACCCCTCTCACTCTCCCCCACAGGAGGACAGCCGTCAGCTGGCTCTGGCCCTCTTCCCGTCCCTAGCTTCATTCTTGAAACGGAAGAAAGACCATGGTAATGCTCGCTCCCCCTCTCCCTCGCTGCTTGCATTTCGACATCTAAAGGACCACGGTAATGCTCGTTCTCCCTCCCTTGCATTGCAGCGTGCATACACGCAATCTAACTAGGGCCATGGTAGGACAAGTATGGTTTGCTGCATTCTCATGCTAATCCAAGCAACTGTGTTTTCATGGTACTCCATACAACCATGTTTTCTTAGTGTTCAATGCCATTATGGTATTCCATGTGTATTTCATACAACCATATTTTCTTAGTGTTCTATGCTATTATGGTACTCCATGCGTATTTCATACAACCATGCTTTCTTAGAGTTCTATGCTATTATGGTATTCCATGTGTATTTCATACAACCATGTTTACTTAGTGTTCTATGCTATTATGGTATTCCATGCATATTTCATACAACCATGTTTTCCTAGTGTTCTATGGTATTATGGCATTCCATGCGTATTCCATGCAGCCGTGTGATTGTGGTACTCCATGCAACCCTGCCCCTTTCTCCGTCTGTCTTTGTTGCCTATCCTTCCTGCTCTCCCTCTATCCCTCTTTCTCTCTCCCTATCCTTCTTTCTCTCTCTATCCTTCTTTCTCTCTCTACCCCTCTTTCGCTGTGCAGGTCGAGCCGAGGCCCTTCTGATTGCCACATATGGCACAAGCCTGTGGGTGCCTGTAGGTGAGGAGGGGAAGAAGACGCGGAGACGAAGAAAGCCAGCTGCCAATGATGCAGTGACCAGTGAAAGCGGGGAAGACGGGATTGCAGTGAAAGCGGATGACTGCATTGCAGCTTGAGGCACATACCTGTGAATGCATAAGAGCGGAGAGGAGAGGGGACGAAGGCACGGAGGAGACGAAAGGCAGCTGCCGGTGAAGCATTGCCGTGACACAAAGAAAGAGCGGAAGACGAGAGTGACTAACTAACAATTCTTTCAGCAAGGAGGAACTCTCGAGGTCCATAGGGCCTCATACCGTGTTTCGATCCTGCCTGCACTGTTGCCTGGATGCAGATGCACTTGGGGTAAACAACTCATTTGAATACAAGCTTCGAAAGACCATGGCATGGATGGTCAAGCAAGTGGAGTGAGTGCAACCTTTATGGTTGCAACTTGCAAAGAGAGAGTAGCACAACTCGAAGGGCTGGAATAAGACTAGAGCTTGTGGTGCAAACCAACTTGACACTCATATTATGGCAAGAGAAACATGGTCAAGAAGCTTCATAGAAGTTTCTTGTGTTGGAAGAAGGTTTTGTAGTGCCAAAACTGTAGAGCTGCTAGGAAGATGCAGACGAGGAGCGAAGCCAGGCTGATACACGTCACTCTGAAATGCGTCACACTGACCATATCCCGCATCTCTGTTTCCCTGGAACAAATGACAAGTGGAGCAGAGGTGAGCATAGAGGGAAGGAATTCAGTGGCAAGCAGGGCAGCTGGGAGGTCCAGGCAAGGAGCGAGGCGAGACTGATGCGAGCCCCTCTGGGGTGTGCTGTGCCGACCACAGAGTTCCTCCATCACCCCGCATCTCCCACTCCCTGGAGATTGATAGAAGAAAAGGTGGGGACTTGTGAGGTCGGATCAAAAGGAAATACACGCAAAGAAAGTGGTTTTCAGAATGAACCGAGTCAAGACACTCACCATTCAGCAATGGCTAAAGTGCAGGCATCCGACTTCCGACCTACTAGCACCTCGGGTGAATCCCACAAGGAACATATTGCGTTATCCTACAGACCCAACCATCCTACCTCTCGTAGAAGAACGCCAGCTCAGCCTCCACAGACTCAACCATGCTCTCCGATGTTTTCAGCTCTCCGCAGCTTTTAGCTCAGAGTCAAAGGGCTGCATGCATACTGGGGGCGAACCAGTCATTCCCCATTGCAGTGTCTTACCTCTCATGGAAGAACGCCAGCTCGGCCTGCACAGACCCAACCATTCCCTCTGCTGCTTTCAGATCTGAGTCAAAGGTCTGCGTGCATAAAAGGGGGTAACTGTTCACTCCCCCATGGCGTTGCTGTGGTGTCGTAACATGGAAGAACGCCAGCTCGGCCTCCACAGATGCAAGCATGCTCTCTCCAATGCCCTCACCTCCGAGACAAGGGTCTCGGAGACAATGCTCTGTGTGCGAAATGGGGGGAAATATTCACTCCCACTCACCCCACAGTGGGAAATACCCACTACTGTGGTGTCTCACCTCTCATGGAAGAATGCGAGCTCGGCCTCCACAGAGGCAACCATGTTTTCCAACATTCTCAGCTCCGAGTCAAAGGTCTGCATGCAAAGGAGGGGGAGGGGGGGGGGGGGGGTGAAGGGGGAGAAGACTGTTTAGCCACCATTCAAAGGTCTGTGTGTTAAGGGAGGAAAGGGTAGAACGTGTTTTGAAGTATCTTTTGAGTCGAGTCATTAATCACGGAGCCAACCATGTTCCTCGGGGTGTTGAGCTCCAACTCAAGGGTCTGCTGCATGCAAAAAGGGGGGGAGACACAAGAGTATTTCTTAGACCTGAAAAACCCTAAGCCCTGTTGAAAAATCCTGTAAGAAATACACACTAGCCATAACGATGGAGCCTTCAGCGCTAAGACAACCCATAGCCTCCGAAAAAGGTCAAGGTCAAGGAATCACCTTTTTAAGGAGGTGACTTTTGAGTCGACTCAAAAGTCACCTCGAATCACATCCTTCTTGCTTTCTCTCCTCCAACTTTTGCCTTTTTAAGCTTCTGAAAGATGCACCTCGTGCGGCTTGGCCACGCCACGCGCCATGGCTTTTGAGTCGACTCAGATGACTTTTGCGTCGACTCCAAGGTCAAAAGTCACTTCATGACTTTTGCGTCGACTCCAAGGTCAAAAGTCACTTCATGACTTTTGAGTCGACTCAGAAGCCACCTTCTTCCTGTCTCACCTCCAACTTCTCCTTTTTACGTTTCTGAAAGATGCACCTTGTAAGACTTGGTCACACGTCATGCCACGTCTAGATACAATTGGTTTTTTAGAATTCTAAAAAACCGCGTCTGACTTCTTCTGGTCTCCTCCCTCTATCCCACCCTTCTATCCCACCTCCAGCTTTTCTCTCTGCTTCCCCCCTTCAACTCAATCTGCTACTTTTTGAGGCGTCTCAAAAATAGACTCCCCCCCCTCGCCTCAATCTGCTACTTTTTGAGGCGTCTCAAAAATAGACTCCCTCCCCTCGCCTCAAACTGCTATTTTTTTAGGCGCCTCAAAAATAGACTCCCCCCCCTCGCCTCAATCTGCTCCTTATTTCTGAGGCGCCTGCAAAAACTGCTTCCCCCACAGGGTGTTCCCCCACACTGAGAATTCTCAAAAACACCCTGCAAAAGCTGCTTCCCCCTCTCACCTCAATCTGCTCCTTCTTGGGTGCTTCTGAGAGATGCGCCTCATGCGACTTGCCCACGCGCCAAGCCACGTCCAGCTTCCTTCTCTCCCTCGCTTTGCTGCGACCTGCCCGGGCACTCCCTGCTGCTGGCACATCCCTCTCTGTGCCTCTGAACGGAAAAGGGATACACAAACGGGTGTTTACACGACGAAGACTGATTTTCCCTGCGGTTGCAGGGGGAAAATCCCTTTTGCTGCGACCTGAACTGGCACTCCCTGCTGCTGGTACGTCCCTCCCAAGCGGCCCCTCACTCTCTCTCTGAACGGCAAGGGTAAGGGAGAGACGGAGGCTAGTAAGGACGTCCCTCTCTCCCCTTTGGAACGGGAAAAAATCAAACCCCCACTCGAGCACAACATTGGAATCACAACCACCTAGTTCCTCCTGTGCTGTGTTCCAAGGAGGCTTCATTGGGCACCCCATTGCCCCCCTTGCTGCGAGCTGCCTGCACGGCGACTCCATTGGGCATCCCATCGCCCCCCACCACACCCCATCTCACCCTGTCTCGCCCCATCACACCCTGTCTCGCCCCATCTCACCCCACCTCACCCCATCACACCCCCTCACCCCACCTCACTCAACCCATCTCACCCCATCAGACTCCATCACATCTCGGGACCCACCTAGACAGCCACGCACACAACATGTGGTCGCCTGCATCCTCTGCCCTCAACCCAAACCAAAGTGCATCTCTGTCTGCCACTCCCGGTAGTCTAGCCGCTGCCCATCGTTGAGGCGCTTCAGTGATGGACTCCCCTGCACCATTGTTGCCTCCCTATAGCAACCCACCTGGACAGCCAGACGCACAGCGTGAAATCCCCCGGCTCCTCTGCCCTGAACCCACAGAGCCCCTCTGTCTGCCCCTCCCTGTAGTGTGCTGGCTGCCTATTTTTGAGGCGCCTAAAATTGGGATCCCATGCACCATTGTTCGCATCGCAATAGCAACCCACCGGGACAGCCACACGCACAGTGTGAAATCCCCCGCCTCGTCTGCCCTGAACCCAAAGTGCCCCTCTGTCTGGCGCTGCCCGTAATGCAGCTGCTTGCCCTCTGGCGAGGTCAGCTGTAAGGAGAAGAGAAGTGGAGGGAGGGGGGAAGGGGAAGCGCCGGGGGGGGGGGGGGGGGGGGGGGGGGGGTTTGGGGGAGAGAAAAGGAAGAGTGATTGAGCCAACCCAGAGCGCCCATCCATCTGTCGTTTCCCCTAATGCAGCTGCTTGCCCCCTGGCGAGGTCAGCTGTGAAGAGAGGAGAAGTGGAGGGAGGGGGGAAGAAGAGGTAGCGAGCCAACCCAAAGTGCCCCTCTGCCTGCCTTTCCCCGTAGTGTAGCTGCTTGCCCCCTGGAGAGGCCAGCTGGGGGAGGACGGCCAGGGAAGGGGAGAGGGGGGAAAGGAGCATGTTGGTAAGCCAAACTATAAGTTCCCCTCTGTTTGCCAAGTGCCAAGTGCAACTCTGTTTGCCAAGTGCCACTCTGTTTGCCAAGTGCCACTCTGTTTGACAAGTGCCACTCTGTTTGCCGCTCCCCATAGACGCTGCTTGCCCCCCTGGGGAGGTCAGATGCAGGTAGAAAGGAAGTGGGGTGGGGGTGGAGAGGATTTGACGAGCCAATCCAAAGTGCCTCTCTGCTTGACTTTCCCCGTAGAGCAGCTGCTTGCCCCCTGGCGAGGACAGCTGTAGGGCAAAGGGAAGTGGAAGGGAGGGGTCGGGAAGCGGGAAGGGGTACCTTGAGGCGAGTCAAGGGAAGGGAAGGGGTGGAGAGGGGAGGGGGAGGGGAGTGTGGAGGGGAGTGCGGAGGGGTGTGGAGGGGTGTGGATGTCTTGAGACGTTTTTACATAAGACAGTATCAACTCACCTGCAGATGAACTTTAAAAGGAGGCTCGGCGTCTCCGTCCTCCGCACCCACCACGCGATACGAGCCTGCTACTAACGCGTATTTAGGGATCTCCTTCCCCACGCATTTGGCCTGCCGCGATACCTCCATTCGAAACGAGCTAATCGCCCGGACTCGCGGCGGATGGGACAGGAGGAGGGTTAGAAGTAGGAGTGTGTAGAAAGGTACTAAAACGAGATGACTTTTGAGTCGACTCAAAAGGAGTGTGTGGAACGGTCCTAAAACGTTCTTGGCCTGCCGCGATACCTGCGTTTGAAAGGAACTCATGGCGTCTGCTAGCGGCGGGTAGGGGAGGAGGAGAGTGAGAAATAGGATACAACGGAGCCTACGCATAGGAAGGACTATGTGATAGAGTGTAGTTTAGAGACGTCTCAAAGATACAACAGAACCTATGCATAGAGAGGAGGAGGATGAGGAGGACTATGAATTAAATTTGGGGTCGACGCCGCGCTGATGTTGTTGCCGGTGCTGTCGCCACATCCGTTCGTCGACATAGAGGTAACTTGGTAACCAGCCCATAGCTGTAGAGTAACTACGACCAAATGCGGCGGAGACTTACTGGAGAAAGCTCCGGAAAGGAGGTGAGACCATCCCCGCTAAGGTCGTGTCTTGACTCGGTCTTATAACGGAGCAAACCAACGTTCTTCCTATGCTTCCATGCATTGGTCGATTATTCAGGCCTCGTGTCCTACACGCTTTATGCGGTTCGAGCTGTCTCGCAGGCTGGAACAAATCCCTATGTCCGACAATCTCGATGCAAATTCGCAAGAAAAGATCGACAGTCACAATTCCTCCATGCCTGCTGATCAACAC